CACTGCCGTGGAGTCAATACTGAGTCACAGTCACCCAATAGGACAGGGTAGGCTTTCCCCTGTGAGTTTCCAAGACGAACTCTTTCCGGCAGTGGGATGCCCCATGAAGCAGCTCATGGTTTCGAATTCTGGATCTGGGGCTTAACAGGCCAACGCGTAAGCAGAGCTCCATAGATTGATTAAATGGACAACCAAAGCAAACCTCAATGTCATAATATTCTGACTCATAGCTACTCTGGTGGTGTAGGGGTGATACATTGAATTGCTAACCATCTGGATCAGCAGTTCAAAATCACTGGAAGCTCATGGGAGAAAAACGATGCTATCTAATCCTGTAAAGTGTTAAGAGTCTCAGAAACCCACAGGAGCAGTTCTCCTGGTTCTATAGGGTCATTATGAGCCAGAATAGATAACAGCATGCTCAAATTAAGTTAACTACAATCTTATCATTCTTTAAAGTGAACAGAGAAATTGAGAGGTCAGTAGCTATGCTGAGACATCTGGAAATTGTTCTTCTAGGTAGTTCTAAAAGTTGTCTGTCAAAGATATTTGTTTGCTTTGTTTTCTTTGAATGCTATTGAACATTCTTGTGGCTCAGTTCATTTTTTAAAACAAAAGTATTCTTGATTCATTCTCTGGACTAGAAACAACAACCAATTATGATGGTGGTGAATCCACCATGATATAAAGAAGTATGATGATCTAAAAGCTGACATGCTGTTAGAATTCAGGAAATGCTTATCCCGAATAGGTCAGTACTTTATCTTTTACTAGCAAACTGGAATGCTATAAAAATCTAAGGAATTTGCTAAAATGGTGGTTTTAATATTAAATGCCCAACCAGAGACAGCTGGAATTAATGAAAAGGCAGAAGCAGGGATGGCCTGGATAATGGATTTTTCATGTTTGACCTAGTTCCTTTTTTTGAAGCATTTATAATCCAGTTTTTAATTTACATTGTGTTTTATAAAGTGAATGTTTCCTTCAATGATGGTCATGGAGGTAAACATATACTTGCCTCATTTTTTTTTGACTGAAAGTAAAATAATGAATTTAGAACACGCTTATGCCATTATTTAAAATGTAAAAACCAACCACAGCTACCATCGAATAAACTCTGACTCATAGTGACCACATGTGTGCCGAGTAAAATTTCAGTCATAGGGTTTTCATTGGCTGTTGTTGTTGTTGTTGTTGCTGTTGTTTTGGAAGTAGATCACCATGCCTAGCTTGTGAAGTACCTTTCAGGGTGAACTCCAACAGCCAAATCCATCGAATTAACCTTTTGCACTACTGAGAGATTGCTTATACCATTGCAGCTTATATGAAATTTGATTTATCTATTCTTTTCTATTTTAAGTCAAGTGATTTAGAATAAAATGGGATAGTATTCATGTAAGCTATATTATAGACACAATATTATATACTATAACACAGAGTAGCAGGATGTTTAATTTTCTACTTTAAAAATCTTTAACCCTTAAAAAGCTTCTATTAGGCTGTACATGTAGTCTTTGACTTTCAATGTGGAGGACAAAACCCTTCACTTTAACATATACCAAAATACTAGATATAAGGTCTTATATACTTGTGAGTTAGAGTTTTGGCTTATAATTCTTATAAAACATATTTAACTAATAAAGTGTAATTTTCCCCCAAATACATACTCAATGTCTTCAACAGCCAAGATTAGGCTAAGTTCACTATTATGCAAATCATAACACTCTGTTTTCCCAAATCCTATAACCAAGAGCACAAATGAAAACTTTCGTCTGTCTTTTCTTTTTCATTTCAGTAAATTTATTTCTCTTCCGTCTCACAAAGATGTAAACATTAGTATTTTTCAGCTATGTATTTTATTGCCCTCTATTAAAAGCAATGACATTATGACCTAAGGAATGTCTTATGTAATCCTGGATTTATAGCACTATAATTTTACAGCTAAATAAATAGGCGAATTCAATAAAGTCCAACATCTATACCTGATAAAAATTCTCAGCAAAATGGGAGTTGAAGGGGAATTCCTCAGGATAATGAAGGACACTTATACCAATCCAAAAGTCAACATCATTCTCAATAGAGCCTGAAAGCATTCCACTTGAAAATGGGTACAAGAGGAGATGCCCTTTATTTGAGTCAACATTGCACTGGGGCACTAACTAAAGCAATAAGGCGAGTCAAGGAAATTAAGGTCAGTCAGATGAGTGAGGAAGAAGTAAAACTCTCCTGATTCACAGATTATATGACTCTATCCATAGAACACCCAAAAGAAATCACAATAAAACTACTGGAGCTAGTAGAAGAATCCAAAAGAGAATCAGGAAATCAGACCGATATAAAAATGATAGTTGTATTCCTCTACACCAGCGGTTCTCAACCGGTGGGTGGCGACCCCTTTGGGGGTAGAATGACCCTTTCACAGGGGCTGCCTAAGACCATCAAAAAAGACTTTTTTCTGACGGTCTTAGGAGCCGAAACACCACTCCTCTGTCCGTCTCCTGGTGGGTCTGCCCACATGCAGATATGCCCACATATGAGTACCCAGCGTGGAGACTGTTACCCATGCTACACCCTGCTTCAAGACAAAATTTCATTTATTTGTCATTAGAAGCAATTATTTCACAATATATAATTACATATTGTTTTTGTAATTAATCACTATGCTTTACTTAGGTTCAATTTGTACCCATGAAAATACATCCTGCATATCAGATACTTACATTACTATTCATAACAGTAGCAAAATTAGTTATGAAGTAGCAACAAAAATAATTTTATGGTTGGGGGTCACCACAACATGGGGAAATGTATTAAAGGGTAGCGGCATTAGGAAGGTTGAGAACCATTGCTGTACACAAAGAGAACTTCACATAGGGAATCAGGAAAACAATATCATTTACAATAACCCCATCTACAGATAAAATGTTTAAGGGAAACCTAATTAAATAAGTAAAAGCCCTGTGCAAAGAAAACAACCAAACAATACTGCAAGAAAGTAATAAACAGATGGAAAACCATACCATACTCATGGATATGAATCCTTGACATGAAAATGTCAGTAGTTCCCACAGTGATTTGTAGACATACAATCTGATCCAATCCCAACAGCATTCTTTCATGCGATGGTAAAACTAATTACCAACTTTATATGGAAAGGAAAGAAGTTCCAGATAAGCATTGCTGAAGAATATCTAAGTAGGAATCTCACAATAACTAATCTCAGAATCTACTATAGTCACAGTAATCAAACCTTCTTGGTACTGCTACATACAATGAACAACATAGAACAGTGGAACAGAATTGATCATCCAGATCAATACATGCATCAATCTGTAGGCAACTGATGTTCAAGAATGGGCCAAAGTCCACTAAAAAGTGAGGCAATGCTGTCTCTAACAAGAGGTGCTGGAAAAATTGGAAATTTAACTGTGGAAAATGAAACATTTTCCCCTACCTCACACGATACACAACAAATAACTCAAAACGGACCAAAGAGTTCAACAAAAACCGAAAACTATAAAAATTACGGATTAAAAAATATGAGGACAATGCTGGGGACCCTAGTATAAGGCATAAATAGAATATCAAAATATAACTAAAAATGCAAACAGAGCGTAAGATATGGCCCTCTCAAAAATTAAATAATTATGCTTGTCAAAAGACTTCTCCAAAAGAGTAAAAAGAGCACCTACAGACAAGGGGAAATGTTTTTTATTATAACATATCCAACAAGGATCTAATCTCTTAATTTTATTGAAAATTTCAACCCTTCAAAAGTGACAAAATAGACAATCCAATTAAAACATGGGCAAAGACATGAACAGACACTTCGCCAAGGCAGACATTCAGGCATCTATCAAACACATGGAGAAATGCTCACAATCATTAGAGAGATACAAATGAAAACTACAATGAGATACCAGCTTGGCCAACACTCATGGCACTCATGAAACAAAACCATAGAAAATAACAAATGTTGGCAAGCTTGTGGAATGATTAGATTCGTATACACTGGTGGTGGCAATATAAAGAAATAGAGTCACTATAGGAAACAGTATGGCACGTCCTTAGAAACTAGAAATAGCTATCTCATAGGACCAGCAATTCCACTCCTAAAGGAACCAGCTCCACGACAGGACTAGACATGGGCTTATCCACCTTCACTATAATCTTATTCAAAATACTAAATACGATGAAGACAAAAATGATGGGCTACATTATCCCACCAGCTGCAACTAGCTCTTCCACTCTGATTCCAACACCTCTTCAAGTCCAAACGGTATCCAACTCTGAAAAGATGCTTTGACCCTGTCAGCTACTCTCTTCTATGGACTCTCATAGAAGTCTGGTCTCTACTTCTCGCTGAAGGCATTTGCCCCTGTCTGTCTTGTATTACAGGTCCTTGCTGGGTGCTGTTTTCAGACAGGGAGATCATCAGGACACAATCTGAATCATATACAAGTTTCTGCTCCATAGAGTAGGTTTTCAAGGAGTACAGAGTATGCAGTTAGTAATTCCCGCTAGCCATGACAAAATGTTCAAAGAGAGTGAAAAATCTACTCAGATATATTTTAGGCAACTCTCGGTCAAGGAAGCAAGCCTTGGAGTAAAATATCCTTCAAGAGGTACGTCAGAGCAGGTGGCACATGAAAATGAGACATTCTATTTTTTCACCTTTATATAACCTCCAGACCAAACATTGACAAAATAGTTATCTTTTGTTGTCACAATGCAGACTTTGATTGAAACTTTTGGGTACATGGATGTCACACCAGGTCAGAAAAACACCATCATGCATTTTTCATTTTAAAATGGATATGTAAAAATTTGATATAATGCCTGATAAAAAAAAATTGGTGAAAATCTCCCAACCGTTGTGCCAAACAGGAAAACAGAATTTGCAAACTATCGTTAAACTTTGCTACTAAGCCCCACGGCAAGGATTCGCTTTGACAAGTCCCAGGTGGCATTGAAATGACACCTAAGACATATTCGCTTACCTTCAGGGAATCAAAGCAGGCAATTACTCTTCCATTTTCAACCTGGCAACTTTTGGGAGGGTGAGCAAATTTGCATTCCTCGTCGGACCGCGAGCACGTTCCTCTTTGGAACTGTCTGCACACTTCCAGTGTCAGCCACTTTGTGTCTCTGACGGGGGCAACGTTCAGAGCCATGATGACAACCTAGTTTGGACTTGGTTAACTTCTGCTAAAGGGTGGTATAAACCCAGCTTCCAATAACTCCAAAGCTACTGTTGTGAAAAAGCCCTCATGTAAGTCTGAAGGTAGGGAAGTGATAAATTGCTTAATGAAGTCCAGTCCACGAGGCAGAGGGAGACGATGGATTGGCAGGCGTCACTCATCCATCAGTATGTCCCACTTGAAGACCGTGGGCCGCAGAAGCAGCACATTCAGGGTCATTGCTGACTGTAAATGTCTGGATCTCCCGGCTGTTTTGCCGACACAAGCGTTGGTAATAAAGTGTCTTCTAGCTCACGGCCCTCCGTGGGAGAATATTTTGTTCTGATGCGAATAGTTATGGACAAAGCTGGACTACGAGCCACTCAGATGTTCATCTTTTAGCAGGTTGCTTTTTTTCCTTCCACCCTTTCAAATCCTGAAATCCAGCAATCGGTCGTCAGACACGTGACGTCTCTTCATCCACTCATCAGGGTCAGGATGCTGTGCATGTCATAGAAAAGCAAGACTGGAACACACAGAGGCAGTTTCTGGTGCTTCCCCACAGGCACTTTTCAAACCACAAACCTGCAAAGATACAAACAAGCTATCAGTTTATACTCAAACTCAATAGAATCAACACGTTATCAATTATATCGTCCTTACCAAGAATTTGCAAAAGCACAGAAAACTATACATTAGGAAAATAAGAAAGAAGGGATTTTTTGTTGTTGTTGTAAAGAGGAAGACGCAACTGAAACCATACTGCAGAAATAATCTAGGCGGCAGTCCAAAAGTCAGGATGACTCAAACCGATGAGTGGGGCAGACACAATAATTAGGCATTCTGAAACAATTCAATCTAATGTGCTTAGTTGCCAAACAGTGTATCAGAACTGTGGTTTCCAATTAATTTCACATTTAGGCCATTGACTTCATTGTTGAAAGTGCTATAAACAATTATTTGAGATGTACGTGTCCTTTATAATAAGGATACTGTCGCTTTGAATGAAGTATAAGATCCTCTTTCTTCACATGTTCCCTAGTTTATGAATATTTGGGTGTAGAAAGGGATAGAGAGTAGCTCCTGAAATATATTCTCAGATCTCTGTATTAATCTGGGTACTTTAGAGAAACAAATCCACAGAAACTCATGTCTAAGGGAGAGTTTTATATAAAAGGTAAGTGCACATCAAGAAAATATCCCAACCCAGTGCTGCCCAAGCCCATAAGTCCAACATTAACCCATATGTCCGACACCAGTCCACAAAGTCCTCCTCCATCTCACAAAGCAGACACAATGATGCCGACTGCAGGTGGAAAGCCGAATCAGTGAATGTGTAAACATCTCAGAGCTGGGAGGGGTCTCCACACGGCTGCTCCAGCACACAGGGCTGCATCGGGGTAGGTCCATGTGGCTTCTCCTTGGGGATGTCTTGTAGCAGGAAGTGAGCCTTGCAAGCTGAAGCAGGGAACTGCTAAGGCAGGTGCACCCTGGTGCGACCATCACAAAGCAAGAGACCCAAGAACTAGAAAGGCGAGGCTCACTGAGCCATTTATTCCCCCACCATCCCCGCCCTTCAATTAACCCCACATGTGTTTATCGGCCAGGTTGGCACAATAAACTAATTACCTCAATCTCTTAGTACGATCTCTCTACTGTTATTACTCAGGGTACACTGGGGCAGTGGCAAAGGACTTGGCAACTAAACAAAAAGTCGGCGATTCGAACCCACCAGCAATTCCCAGGGAGAGATGTGGCTGTCTACTTATGTACAGATTTGCAGCTTTGAAACCCTCTAGGATGACTGTACTCTGTCCTAGAGAATCACTATGAGTCAAATATCAGTGTGACAATGATGAGTTTGTTTTTTGGGGTGTTGATTGTTATTACTTGTTTAAAGTTAGCTCTCCCCTATAAGCCTGTAAACACTATGAGGACAAGGGTATTTTTCACTTCTGGATCACTGGTGCCATAGTGTATGGCATCAATTAATAACATGAGGAGGATCTCGAAAATACTCATTGGATAAATGAGGCATTGACCTATGGAATTGTTGACTCACTCACTGATGATCCAAATGATTGAACACAAGCTAGCTTTAGTTTAGTTTTTAAATGATTCACAATCTAAAAACACTTTATTCTATCAAGTGCTGGTGCTGTCCCATGTCTACAAGAAAAATATACATAACTAGAAATTCAGATGACTGAAATCAACCCAAGGGATTTTTTTAGTTAATTTTATTTTTTATGGTTGGAATCAACTTGGTGGAAACTAACAAAAGCAACAAATTTGTTTTAATTTTTTTCAAGGATTTAAAAATTATTACAACATTAACATTTTAATGTTAGTGAATCTAGCATCAATTTAGTACAAAGAAAATACAGGAAGTTTATCATTTTCATAAGTTGTATATGCCACAAGCTACCTCAGATACTTGCTTATGTCCTTCTAAAGGTCTCTTTAAAATGAAGACTAGGGAGCAGACGGACACTGGGCCTCAACTCAAGTACTTACTCAATGCAAGAACACGTTGTTCTATTAAATTGGCATTCCATGATGCACACCTTCCCGACACGATTGCTGAAGAAAAATGTGTGCATAAGCAAATGTGAAGAAAGCTGATGGTGCCC